CGAGATGTCTTTTATGTTCCTTCTTTGCAAAGAAACTTAATAAGTGTATCAAAGTTGGATTTTGATGGATATGATTGCCGCTTTGGAAGTGGCAAATGTGAACTATGGCATAATAATGCATGTATTGGTCTTGCTGTGTTGCGAGACGAACTTTATTTGTTATCTCTTTCTGAGAATGTGAATGTTGTGTCCTCGTTGACAAAAGAAAACAAGAAAAGAAAGCGAACTCCCGATGTCTCATCGAAATTATGGCACTGTCGTTTGGGCCATATTTCGAGGGGGAGAATTGAGAGACTAGTTAAGAATGAAATTCTTCCTCCATTGGAGTTCTCAGACTTAGAACAATGCATAGAATGCATTAAAGGAAAATTTGTAAAGAGCATCAAAAAGGGTGCAAAACGAAGCGCAGGAATTTTAGAGATCATTCATACAGATATTTGTGGTCCATTTCCTGTGAAAAGTGTGGATGGCTATGACTCGTTCATAACATTCACAGATGATTACTCCCGCTATGGTTATATTTATCCAATTAAAGAGCGATCAGAAGCATTGGATAAATTTAAGATATTCAAAGCTGAAGTTGAAAATCAGCATGATATAAAGATTAAAGTAGTAAGATCTGACCGTGGGGGGGAGTACTATGGTCGACATACGCCTTATGGGCAAGTCCCTGGACCTTTTGCAAGGTTCTTGCTAGAGAATGGAATAGTAGCCCAGTATTCAACACCGGGCGAACCTCAACAGAATGGGGTAGCTGAAAGGCGCAACCGTACCCTCATGGATATGGTGCGCAGCATGATGAGCTACTCCACACTACCACTCGGTTTATGGATGGAGGCGTTAAAAACCGCCATTCATATTCTCAACAGAGTTCCAAGCAAATCGGTGCCCAAAACACCGTATGAGCTATGGACAGGAAGAGTACCCTCGCTAACTCACCTCCGTGTGTGGGGGAGTCCTGCAGAGGCCAAAGTATTTAACCCAAATATTGGGAAGTTGGACCCCAAAACAGTCAGCTGCCATTTTATTGGCTATCCTGAAAGATCAAAAGGCTATCGTTTCTACTGTCCAAACAGTTATACAAAGTTTGTAGAAACGAGACACGCCGTCTTCTTGGAAGACGAAATGATTAGGGGGAGCTCGGTAGTTCGAGAAATTGATCTTGAGGAGAGGCGGGTGTCTGTACCCGCTCCGTCGACTCAGGAACCTTTCTTCTCTCTACCTGCTGATGTTGTGCCTGCAATGCCTGTCATTGAGGTACCAGCACCTGTTGTTACCCTTCCTGTGGCAACAATGAATGAGAGTGAGGAACCTGTTATACAGGATTCAACAGAAATGGTTGCCACACCAGAGGAGGAGCTACAACAGTCTCAAATAGATAATGTGCCAGTACAGGAGACTCATCAAGAGCCTCAGGTACAGGATGTGCCAAATGTGCAGGCCCCTAGAAGGTCTGAAAGAGTCAGAAGATCGGCTATCCGTGATGACTATAAAGTTTATAATATAGAAGAGTCGCATATGGAGGATGATCCCACCTCATATGAAGAGGCCATGAGAAGCGCTCGCTCATCTGAATGGTTGGAATCCATGAAAGATGAAATGGAATCAATGAAACTAAACGATGTTTGGGATTTAGAAGAAATTCCTAAAGGAGCCAAAACAGTAGGCTGTAAATGGGTCTACAAAACCAAATATGACTCCAGAGGGAATATAGAAAAGTTTAAAGCGCGACTTGTGGCAAAAGGCTTCACACAACGAGAAGGGATTGATTACAATGAGACATTTTCTCCAGTCTCTTGTAAAGATTCCTTCAGGATTATAATGGCACTAGTGGCACATTATGATTTGGAATTACATCAGATGGATGTAAAAACGGCATTTCTAAATGGAGATTTGGAGGAAAAAGTATACATGGCGCAACCGAAAGGTTTTGTCATGAAAGGAAACGAAAATATGGGATGTCGTCTAAAGAGATCCATTTATGGATTAAAGCAAGCTTCGAGACAGTGGTACTTGAAGTTTGATGGGACAATAAAGAAATTTGGGTTTCAAGAGAATGTCGAGGACAACTGTATTTATTCAAAGTTTAAGAATGGGAGATTTATTTTCCTAATTCTGTATGTGGATGACATTCTACTGGCTAGTAGTGATGTCAGTCTACTGCAGGAAACAAAGAAATTCTTGTCCTCAAACTTTGACATGAAAGACCTCGGTGAGGCTTCATATGTTTTGGGCATAGAGATTCACCGAGATAGAACAAAGTATGCATTGGGACTTTCTCAAAAGACATATATAGAAAAGGTGTTGAAGAAATTCAACATGTACAGATGCAGTGCTACACCTGCTCCTATAATGAAAGGCGAAAAGTATGGGGCATCGCAATGTCCCAGAAATCAGTTTGAGCTCAATGAAATGAAAACAAAGCCATATGCGTCAGCTGTAGGAAGCCTACAGTACGCGCAAGTGTGCACACGACCTGACTTGGCATTTGTTACCGGGTTACTTGGCAGATTTCAGAGTAATCCAGGCCTAGAGCACTGGAAATTGGTAAAGAAAGTCTTGCGTTATTTGCAAGGAACAAAAGGCCTCATGCTGTCTTACAGAAGATCAGAATCACTCCAGATAGTGGGGTACTCAGATTCTGACTTTGCAAAAGATAATACAAAGTCAACATCGGGATATGTGTTTACCCTGGCAGGAGGAGCTATTTCATGGAAAAGCTCAAAACAGACTATCACTGCAGGGTCTACTATGTATGCCGAGTTTATAGCATGCTATGAGGCAACGGGGCAGGTGAACTGGCTAAAGAAGTTCATACCCGGTTTAAAGGTGGTTGACAGTATTGAGAAACCACTAAAGTTATACTGCGACAACGAACCCGCAGTAATGTACGCTCACAACAATCAGTCAAGTGGTGCTGCCAAACACATTGACATAAAGTACTATGTTGTGAAGGACAAAGTCCGGGATCAAACAATCAGTCTCGAGCACATTAAAACAGAAAGGATGCTCGCGGATCCGCTCACGAAAGGCCTACCACCCAACGTGTTCAAGGAACATGTAGCCGGCATGGGTTTAAGGGAAGCCTTATGAATCCTGGACTACAGGGCCCAAAAGTAAAGTATCTGTTTCTGAATAGAGATGTGTATAGTGGCTGTCGAATCCATCGGTGATTAACCGTGACGATGAAACATGCTCTATTTACAAATCTGTGATGGAATAGAAAAAGCTAAAAGAAAAAGTGAGATCAAGGGGGAGAATGTTAGATAGATCTCTCTCCCCTTGAGCCCAACGGCTCAAGGGGGCCTTGACCGCGCCCTGATCGGGGGCGCCCAGCCCAATGGCTGGTGGGCCCCCGTCACACTGCGCCATATAAAAGAGGGGTGGAGGCCGGCACGGCACAAGGTTCGAGATTCACCGCCGCCGCCAACTCCACCCTACAAACCCTAATCCGATCAAGAGGGGGCGCAGCCAGTGACGGGAAGCGCCACCGCCGCGCCACACCTCATCGCCGGGACATCTACAACCGTCACTCCCGCAGCCGTCATCGTCGTCGACCTCACCGGCGCCGCATCCACGACAACCGAGCGCCAACGGAGACGATGGCCGGCACTTCTTCATCCTCCAACACCTCAACCGGTCGGTCTATCTAAACCCTCTCCCGTTTTCAATCTCTATAGTTCAAACCTCAATCCCAAATAGAACCACCCGACTAGATCTAACCTAGGTGATCCTAGTGCAAAGTATAACAGCCGCTATCTGGGTGTCGGTCCGGCACCTATCGCCTATTCTGTAACCCTGGGATGTAAGGGCACTCAGCCGTAAAATGTTTCAAATTTGATCTCGATCGATCATTTTACACGCTCATATCAGATACATATAGATCACTAATCAGCAATGATTCGTTTATGCCTCATCATTGGGATCCCCTTCAAGGCTACAGATTAAATTAAGCTATATATACGCGGCTACTAGATAGAGATACAACATCTCACGTCGATTCAATTGGCAACAAGTAGGCCACATGTTTGGACGCCGTACGTACTGCTTAACTATGTAATCGCCTGAACTAATCCAAATTTACTACTGAACTGCGCTACCTAATGATCACATGACGATCGATCGCTGCAGTGCAATGCTAATGCAATATATAATCACAGCATGACTTGTCACATGCATGACTTGTGTCACCGTTTCTGCCCTCAGAATCCCTGCTAGCTTGTCAATTTATTTTTCTGTTAAATATGTAAGATATGAAGATTGTACTATCTTTTATTGCTCATTAGCTAACTACTCTCTATGCGCTAGATAGTATATACCTTGTACTGTATGTGCTACCTTCCGGCCTCCCAATTCATCTTTCAATATTAAGATTAGTGTGTGGGGAAGTGGTTTTTCCCCTTGAGGTATCAATCAAATCAAATAGTTACAAAAATTTCTTAAAACATTGGCAATCATGATAAATTAGTCATCTGTCATCCTTAAAATATTCAATTCGAAATCTGACCCACAATATGAGATAAAAACAAATTATAATCACGATATGTTTTTTTTTGTTTTGCAATTTGTATAGATTGAATTTGAATATACATGCTGGTGAAGTGGTGCATATCATATAGTAATATCTATGTTCTCATTTCTTTTTTAAAAAATATAGCTATAACTTGTAAAGAATGAGTTTACAAAATGACTTTTAGATTCCTAGTGGTGAAAGTGAATATAGCTCAATTATTGGTCAACTAGTTAGGTTATTACTTGTGGTGAAAACCAACTCACGGAAGTTCAAGTTTCAGACTTAACATGGCCGTATTTACGGCTAATTATTTTTTCAGGGATAGCCTCCCGTGAAAAACTAATTATCCCTGACTACTACATGTTTATGTCTAATTAGCACACAGGTTTATGTCTCCATCTACATGTGCCCTCCCCTCACTACTACTAGTCCTCTATCTCTGCCACTTTGTCGCAACCGGAGCAGCTAGCTAGCTCGCTGGCCAACAATGGCGGGGGACGGCAGATGGGTGTTGGATATCATTTGGCACACGCTGTTGCTCGGCGGCGGCGCCGTGGGCAACCTCTGGAGCAGCTGGTCGATGGAGATCCTGCTCGGCGTCAGCTTCGCGGCGCAGCTGGTGCTCACCGTCACCGCCGGGTTCCGGTGGCGCAGCGCCTCCGCCGCGCTGCGCCGCGTCATCTGGCTCTTCTACGTCGGCGCCGACTTCGTGGCGACCACCGCGCTGGGGCACCTCTCCGTCAGCGGCACGGCCGGCAAGCGCCGCCTCGTCGCGTTCTGGGCGCCCTTCTTCCTGCTCCACCTCGGCGGGCCCGACAGCATCACCGCCTACGAGCTCGAGGACAACCAGCTGTCCGCGCGCTACGTGCTCGAGCTCGTCCTCCGCGTCGCCGGAGCGGTGTACATCGTCTACAAGTCCACCCATGGCAGCTGGGCCTTGATCTCGGCGTCCTGGCTGATGCTCTTCGTCGGCGTGGCCAAGTACACCGAGAAGACGATGGCGCTCCGCCGCGCCAACCTGGCCAGCGTCCGGAGCTCCGTGGAGAGGCAGCGCCGCCGGCAGCAGCGCCACCGCACGGAAGGTGGCGGCCGGCGTTCCACCAAGCTCGTGTTTGCCGGAGACGACGATGGCGCCCTTGTGATGAAGGCTCACGCGCTGTTCCACATCTGCAAGAACTCCATGGTGGACTCGTCGGTGGAGACGGCGTCGAACACCTACGACGCGGCGGCGGCGGCCGACACCAAGGAGACCCTCTTCCAGCTCGAGTGGCCGCAGCTGTTCAGGGTGATGGAGATGGAGCTCTCGCTCATGTACGACTTCCTCTACACCAAGGCCGCCGTCATCTACACCTGGCACGGCTACGCCATCCGCGCCGTGTCGCCGGTGTTCACCGCCGTCTCGATGGTCCTCGTCGAGCTCAGCAACGTAGGCGGCCACCACCGGCGATCCGACGTCGTCATCACCCGCCTCCTGCTCGTCGCCACCTTCCTCCTCGAGACGGCGTCGCTGCTCAGAGCCGTCGGCTCGTCATGGACGGGATTCTTGCTGCACCGTGGCCTCCGACACGGCTGGATTCGCCATGAAGCCCTGTGCGCGAGCCGGTGGCTCCGGTTCCATCACGCGATGGCCTCCGTCGGCCGGATCGCCAACTCGCAAGCTCACCGGAAATGGTGCGGCAAGATGGGCCAGCTCAGCGTGTTGCAGCTCATCATCACCGGCGCCGGCAGCGACAGGGGGGAGAGCCAAGATCGGTCATGGGACAAGGAATGCGCGCGATACTCGGAGAAGAACACGATGGTGATCCCAGCTGAGGTGAAGGAGGTGGTCTTCCGGCGAGTGAGGCAGCAGCTGCTCGACCTGAGGGCGAGGATGAACAGGGAGGCGGCGGACATGGACCTGAGGAAGATGGCGGCGAACTTGAGGACGAAGAGGGGCCAGCTCGCGCTGCAGGGCCGCAACCTTCTCGGCGAACTCCGGTGGAGCCTCGGCGACGAGCTCCAGCTGGGCATCCTCACGTGGCACGTCGCCACCGAGATCTACCTCTTGCTGTCCGGGAGAACCGCCGCCGCCGCCGTAGCACGGCTGGTGAGGACGATCAGGACGCTGTCCGACTACATGATGTACCTCCTCGCCGTCCGCCCCGACATGCTCCCCGGACTCGTCACCCGCAAGCTGTTCGAGCTCACCTGCGACGATCTGGCCCGGGTTTGGTCCAAACACCAGGCCGCCGCCGCCGCCGCCGCCGCCGCCGTGCCGAGGAAATTCTTCTTCCGGCGGCACAACCGGTGGCGAGTTTCTCCAAGAATCAGCGACATGAGGAGCTGGGAGGAGGAGGAGCTCGCCAAGATGCTGATCGATCAATGGCGGCGCGGACGGGACGACGACACCGGCGGCGGCGGCGGCGGCGGAGTTGCGCTAAACAAGTACCTGTCTCGCGGCGTGGAGCTCGCCATGAAACTGCTGGACCTGGAGAGGGAGGGGAAGGCGGACATGGTGCAGGTGATCCTGGAGGTGTGGGTGGACATGGTGTTCTACGCGAGCTACCGGTGCAGCAAGGAGGCGCACGCCAAGCAGCTGAGCCAGGGCGGCGAGCTCACCACCGTCCTGTGGCTCGTCGCCGAGCACGTCGGCCTCTTCCTCGTCGGCAAAACCGGCAGGGGAGTTGAAGAGGATAACTGGAGGAGGAGGAAAGATGCTAAACGAGGGCGCTGAAGTTTAATTTGATGGTACTATATTAATTTACCAAGCTACTAACTAAGTTATTAACTTTCTAATTGATTTTTAATTAATTAATTAATTAATTAATTGCATGTCCTCCTGTTTGATTATATAATCTTTTACCAGGTAGATATGATATACTCCCTCTGTCAGTTTGTCCCTAAATATTTGACGCTGTTAACTTTTTTAAATATGTTTGACCGTTCATTTTGTTCAAAAAATTTAAGTAATTATTAATTTTTTTTCCTATCATTTGATTCGTTTAAATATACTTCTATGTACACATATAGTTTTACATATTTCACAAAAGTTTTTGAATAAGACGAACGGTCAAACATGTTTAAAAAAGTAAACGATGTCAAATATTTAGGGACGGAGGGAGTACGATTTTATTTTTATGAAGTTCAACAACAGGCGGCAGCAGATCTAGGCGTGACAGCCGGCGGCGACGGATTATAGGGTTTGAATTTTTTATCTAGGGTTTCTAGATTTTTGGTTACTGGAAACGATGTCAAATATTTAGGGACGGAGGGAGTACGATTTTATTTTTATGAAGTTCAACAACAGGCAGCAGCGGATCCAGGCGTGACGGCCGGCGGCGACGGATTATAGGGTTTGAATTTTTTATCTAGGGTTTCTAGATTTTTGGTTACTTGAATTTTTATTTTCTTTTACCAAAATTACTTTTGCATTCCGACGGCTTAGCGCTCGCATCACATGCGGTCTGCTTTAGCAGCATGCAAAAGTACTGATTTTCGCTAACACCTGAGCGCATATGGATCACTCACCCACATGCGAGAATCGAATTTGACTGCATGAAAAAAAAATGTTTCTACTGTAGTGAACAGACACACATCATACCCTTATGAGCACCTCTGAAAACTAGGACGTCGTATCTTGAAACTGATAAGTTGCCACGGGAGTCTACAACTGGAAAAATAATTCATCGCCTTAAATGCAAATACACATGTCAAGTAAGTATATAGAACTTGAACTCGGGTGAGTTGTTGTTCACCACAAGTTACCTAACTTGTTGAGCTATACTCACTTTCACCACAGAGAACCTAAATGTCATTTTGTCCCTCAAAGGGATGTAAAGTCATTCTTTACAAGTTATAGCTATTTAATAAAAAAGAAATGACAACATAGATATTACTATATGATACACCACTTCAATCTATACAAATTGGTAAAAAAAAATACATATCTGAGTATGGATAATTTGTTTTTATCTAATATTGTGGATCAGATTTCGAATAGTATTTTTTTTAAGGGTGACGGATGACTTATTTATCATAATTGCCAATGTTTTAAGAACTTTTTGATAAATATTTGATTTAATTGATACCTCAAGGGGAAAAACCCACTTCCGACACACCAATCTTAATATTGAGAGACGTTAGAGATACTCTATTTTAAATCAACAGGACTGAACTGCTCCAGGTTGGGAAGCCGGTGAGGCCGGAAGGTAGCACATGCAGTAGATAGTACTATCTCTGTATTCCATAAAGAAGCAACTCCTAGCTTCCTAAGAAAAAATTAAATAAGAGGATAAATGATTAAAATACCCCTCATTAATAGCAAATTAGTATTGGTGGATAAGTAGGTAAAGGGTATTGAAGGAATAAAATTTTTCGATTTGCGAACCAAAAGTGGATGAGAAGGTAGAAGTTGATTTATTTTGGAACATAGTTTGAATTTCAGAAGTTGATTTATTTTGGATGGAGGGAGTAATAAGTAATACTTCCTCCGTTTCAGATTATAAGTCGTTTTTTTTTTGTCAAAATGAAACTGTTTTAAGTTTGACAAGTTTGTAGAAAAAAGTAGTAACATTTTCGACCCAAAACAAATATATTATGAAAATATATTCAATTATCGATTTAATGAAACTAGCTAATTTGGTGTTGTATGTGTTTAGTTGTCATGTCCACTTTAGCGTCTTATGTGGATTCAACTAACATTTTAAACAAAGGGAAAATTTAGACGAATCGTTTGAACAATAAATTAAACATGAAGGCCCTTAGCTAAAACTCTAAGGACTAAATTGGGCTATGTTTCCCTAAATTAATGCCACTAGAGAAATCATCTCTGTAAAGTATGAAAAGCACCTTTTGAAGTGCCCAAATTAAGAAAAATGTCTGATGATTGTTCCGTATGGTCTTTTTGTCAAAGATTTGGAATCAATGTCTCCATCTTTGTTTCTATTAGGGGTGAAAACGGAGCGGATATTATCCGATCCGATTTGCTCTGAATCCGTCCGAAGTGAGGACATGGTAAGGGTTTTTATATATCCGGCCGGATGTGGATGCGGATAGTTACATGCGGTTGCGGATATGATATCGGTAATATCCGGCGGATACGGATTATCCGATAAACGTTTTGGCGGATAATCCGAAATTCACAGCCCATATAACCACTCAAATTGGCCCATTTGACATGAGCATTTTCATCGTATAAAGATTCAGCCCATCCAGGTCCACCTTATCCATCAATTTATCCAGGAGTTCAGTCTGTGACTCCGTCGGCGTCGCGTCAACCAATTTTTTCATCGAGACTTCTCTCGATCATCTCCTTCTAACCTTACTTGGATATGTGTTATTATGTAATATGCAATATGCAACTTATTAGTAGTACTGTATGAGAATTGGACATCATTTCTGGACCTCCAATGTTCTATCACCTATGTCATGTGATACTGTTTTTTTCTAACATTTGTGAACTTCTATGTCTTACGTGTTATGTGAATGTGATATATCGTGATGTCAATACTGTATGTGTTGATTACATGCTTTTGGACAGAAGACAAGTCAATGTTAACAACTTGACATTATATTATGATGTGATCGGTGCTTTCATGAGTCATACGAATTGTGATATTGGTACCTCATTGTTGCTCATTGTACAGATGATCAGATGTTATATCGATTGTATATACATGTCACATCCGATTATTTTCATCCATTTCCGAGCCGAGTCCGCAACCACTCCGCACCATTTCCGATATCCGAAATAATCTGCTCCGCATCCGCATCCGCACATTATCCGCACCGCCTCCGAATCCGATTAAAAAATATGGTATAGGATATGGTATGACTAATATTCGTCCGAATCCGATCCGTTTTCACCCCTAAGTTTCTATGCACGAACCGACGGCCAAAAGCTTAATTACTATATATAAAAAGGATGCAAGGATGTGGATAATATAAGATAGGTTTATTAGCAGACAGTAGTGAGCAATTATATTACCTTAGGGTATGAGCAAGAGTTTGTTTACAAATTGCAATCCATGGAAACTATTTTGGCACGTACAAAGTTATAACTTGCCACTCTATGCAATCAAATAGGAGAATGATAACAAGAACTCTATGCAATCAAACAGGAGGACATGCAATTAATTAATGACGGAGGAGGTTAACTTAGCTTGTTAACTGTAGCATCAGACGTTCCGGCCTCTTTTTTCTTATTAGCTTTCCTTTTCCTCCAGTTAGCCTCTTCAGCTCCCTTTCTGGTTTTGTTGACAAGGAACAGGCCGGCGTGTTCTGCCATGAGCCACACGATGGTCGTCAACTCGCCCCCCTGGCTCAGCTGCTTGGCATGGGACTCCTTGCTGCACTGGTAGCTCGCATAGAACAGCATTTCCACCCACACCGCCAGGATCACCTGCACCATGTCAATCTCCTTGCGCAAGTCTACTAGGTCGAGCAGTTTCTGGGCGACATCGATTCCACGAGAGAGATATTTGTTAAGGGCAGTTTCATTGTCCCTTTCGATGAGCATCCTAGCAAGCTCCTCCTCCTCCGCCCTGCCGTGACTGAGCCTGGTAGAAACTCGCCAACGATTGTGCCACTGGGAGAATTTGCCCCGCATGAAGACCCTAATATTGCAGAAGCTCGGAGAAGACGACGACTCTAGGTCATCGACGGCGGCAGGTGCTGCCTGATGTTCGGACCAAATCTGGGCCAATTCCTCGCAGGTCAGTTCGATAAGCTTGCGGGTGACCAGGCCCGGCAGCATGTAAGGGCGAAGAGCGAGAAGGTACATCATGTAGTTGGACAGTGTCATGATTGCACACACCTTCGGTCCTTCGTCACCCTTCGCCTTGGCGGCTTTGCCGGACAACAAGAGGAACATGTTGGTGGCAATGTGCCATGTGAGGATGCCTAGCTGGAGCTCATTGCCGAGGCTCCAACGGAGATCCGAGAGCAAATTGTTCTTTTCTAGTGCCTGCTGACCCCTCTTCTTCCTCAAGTACACTGCCATCTCCAGCAAGTTAACGTCCTGTGACAACGCATCCGCCCCTTCTTGCGCCACCACCTTTTTCACATAATCCCTCAACTCCTTCAACTGACGGCTGACAAGCTCAGAAACCAGTTTCTTGACATTTTCTGGGATCATGGTTTCATTTGAGCATCGCTGATATTCCTTGTCCCAGAACTGACCACCCTTTGGCGCCGGTCGCTCTAGCTCCTTCTGGGTGATGACCAGCTGCAACATGTTGAGCTGCCCCATCTTGCCTAACCACTGCCGGTGAGCTTGCACCTTGGCGGGCCAGCCAAGGGACATGATGACGCTATGGAAACGATGCCACCGTCTCATGCACAGGACTTCATGGCGAATCCAACCCGGTTGCAACTTGCTATGCAGCAAGAAGCCGGTCCATGTCGAGCTGAGAGCCCTGAGCAGCGACGCCGACTCAAGGAGGAAGGTGGCCACCAGCAGTACACGGGTGATGACAATGTCCGATTGCTTGTGGCGGCGGCCGCCCTCATTGCTCAGCTCAACCAGAACCAGTGACACGGTGGTCGCCAGTGGCGACAACGCACGGATGCAGTAGCCATGCCAGGTGTGGATGATGGTGGCCTTGGTGTAGAGGAAGTCATACATGAGGGAGAGCTCTATCTCCATCACCCTGAACAGCTCTTTCCACCTGAGATCGAACAGCGCGGTGGAAGGAGATGTGGATTCTATATCCACCGACGAGTCCACCAAGGAGTTCTTGCAGATGTGGAACAGGGCATGAGCCTTCATCACAAGGGCGCCATCATTGTCATCTGTCGCAAACGCGAGCTGCTGAGAATGGTGGTTGCCACCTCCCATGTGATGGCGGTGCTGCTGCCTCTCTAAGGATCTCCGGACATTGGCCAGGTTGGCGCCGTGGAGCGCCAACGTCTTCTCTGTATACTTGGCCACGCCGACAAGGAGCATCAGCCAGGCTGCCGGGACCAAGGCCCAGCTACCGGAAATGGACTTGTAGACGATGTACACCGCTCCGGTGACTCGCAGGACGAGCTCCAGCACATAGCGCGCCGACAGCTGGTTGTCCTCAAGCTCATAGGCGGTGATGCTGTCGGGGCCGCCGAGGTGCAGCAGGAAGAAGGGCGCCCAGAACGCGACGAGACGACGCTTGCCGGATGTGCCACTTACAGAGAGGTGGCCGAGTGCGAGCGTCGCCACAAAGTCGCCGCTTACATAGAAGAGCCAGATGACGTTGCGTAGCATGGGGGAGTCCCCGCGCCAACGGAACCCGGCAGAGAAGGTCAGCACAAGCTGCATCAGGAAGCTGGCGCCGAGCAGGATCTCCATTGACCAGCCGCCCCAAACATCGACAATCGTGTTCCGGGCAAGTACCAACACATGCCAAATGATGCCCATCACCCATCCTTCTCCGGCCATTGTTTGCCTAGATTGCTCCTCCAATCAAGACAAGTGTTAGATATAGTTGGTTCCCTGAAGAGAGTGCAATTAGTATACATAGGATGGTAGGCAGCACCAGAAGATCGAGATCACGACATATGCAATCCAAATTATGCAATCTTGCACAAGTTGTCCTAGGTTAGCTACTATTTTAGGAGATCATAGTGCATGTGAACTCATTCCTTGCGTACCATTGGAATAGTTATGACTATGTTCTAGAAACATTGGAATATACTAATACACATAAGATGAATCACAGTACGATATGGATAAGTTGGGCTGTAAAGAGGTCACACATTGAGCCCCAATCATATAGTAACCATAAATATTCTGGTTAAAGGACAACTTGAGACCATACTAACTTAATGGATTGAAAATGAAACCATACTAATTACAAGGCATGAACGAGAAAAAATACAGGTGAGTATAGGACAAACAAACCAACTTGGCTTATGTATTAATGAAAAATTGTAATGTGGAGGTCCATTTAGTTAAATGAAGTGTTAGGTGTTGCACTGCCTCTTACTAGAAAGGGACTAAGACATACAATATGTGTTGCATGATTGCTCGATTACTACTTTTAAGCACTAAAATAAAAAGGCCCCCAAACAAGGATAAAAAAAAGGGTAAGATACCAAGGCAAATACCATGCTGTTCATGTCTGCAGTGTCATGACAATAATTATTACTCCAGTTGAGAAAGTGTTTATAATGTTGCATTTTTAAAAAAAACTTATAATCATCTGATGTTACTCATAGGTTGCTGCTAAACAGCTCCTCCGATTCTCATACAAATATTCTCAAAGCTTCAATTTCAATCAAGTATAAGAAAATAGTTTTAAAAGGAACAATTTAAATGGAAAAAACTTATACCATGCAATGATTCATTACCTCAGAAGATGTCCATGTATATATCCTAATCTAACTGGAACTCCATTCTCTTAGCTTGTCTTCAGGGATATTACACGCTGAATAAGTACCATGAAACTGCAACGGGACTAAAACTTAATTTGCTGTAGACTGACACTTGCAAACCATGCACCATGTAGTCCATTCTCCAACGAAATGACAGGTAGCAGAGAGTAACTGACCCCAGCCAATCTATCAAAGATGATCATCAATTACAACCTTTGCCAATATGCAGAAAGACATTGAACTTGGCTTAACTAAATAATTTGCTACTACAAGCAAATACACGAGATGGATTACATGATTCCATCATGCTGGTTTTTCCAACCAATAAATTCCACTTTACTTCAACTTATATTTTTTCATTACCTGCATGTTCAAAATTCAACGGATTTGGCACACAATTCTCCTTGCGATCACTTGGAACATTTGGAAATGCCAAAACAACAAAGCCTTCAACAACACGGACGAATTCGATCGCTGTCTCCGACAGTGCTGCATCAACGAGCTCCTCCTCTGGTCTCACAGATGCCCCCTTCGCCTCAAACCTCACCTAATTTCGTGGGTTGATAATCTTCTTGTAATACAAAATCCCTAGTTCAAAACCGCTTTAGTGTTTACTTTTAATTTCTCTTCCTCTAATATATTAGGCAATACTCTTGCCGCTTTCCTTTCAAAAAAAAACCCGCTTTAGTGCTTTTCTTATCCCCTTTGTAATTCCCTTCTTTGTACATTGTTTTACAAACAACTATCAATAAAGTTCAGGCCGGCGTCAAACGTCTGCCGTAGTTTCCCTCAAAAAAAAATTCAACAGGTACTCCCAGGCTCTTTTAAGTTTTGTTTAAACTATATATGTTGATCCATAGCTTCTCTCATGAAGTCCATAGCTTCTCTCAGAATTCATGCAAATGCATACCTTGCCCTTTATAATCCAGTACCGACTATCAACATAAAAAAAGGATTGTCCCATGGAACCAACTAAAACATTAACATGCCACTGAAGTGAAATGAACACAATAGCCGTCTCGAGAAGATCAATACCTCAATTTCTTTTCCTTTCTTACTGACTTGATCTAGCTGCCCATTTCATAAATCTCTGTACACTCTTCCATTCTGTCATCTTCTCTTGGTAGTATATTACTCGACCAATGCTATATGAAAGACACCGAATATATGCTCCAGGAACATAAATCTATTCGAACACCAGATAATGGAGTTGATCATTTATTCAATTATCTATGCCATATTGCCATGACAGATCTGATATTCAAGTATATTGGCTATGCTGAAAAAGGAAAATAATCATTATTCCTTTCAGTCACACAGATCCAATTAACCAAATGTACTTAATTAGCATGTACCTTAACAATTATCACCACTAATGCCTGGTTTCTTGGAAAATTGGAATGTGTGAACTATTGGAGTATACATGGTCAACAATCCACATAATTGTTCCAATCTAAAAAATGAACAAGAATAACATTGTTCCTGAAAACATTGCTTTCAGCCTTTCAGTTGTGATCTTCACAGGTTATAAAATCTAGCACCACAGTCTCATATAATCAGGAGAAAGATTCTAAAATCAAATAAATTTTCACCTACAATGAAAGAAATTTTATACATAAAGAAGGGATGTACCTGATTTTTATTTCAAGTAGCAGGGCAAAATATGATAGAAGAGAAGTCAGTTACAGGAGAAAACAGTACCAGAGGCAAAGTTGCAAGAAACTAGAATTTGGGCAGCCGCCACTGCATGCATATTGTTGTTAATTAGCAACCACCCATTGATCCTCATACATCTTGTGATTGGGGCGAGTCTGCCATTTGTTCTTTTCTGCCAGCTTCTTAGATAGTTCACCGATGAAAGAGCTGGCAATATGACATACCAAAAAAATACATCTCAAGGAAGCCCTCCTTACACAGCCATGTTCTCGGTGAACTTGGCAGTGGCATATTGCCAGACATAGCTACCACATACGTAACTCAGGAGAAACTAGGGCAAAATCTGAACCTTGATGCACTTGACGAGGAAGCTGCTGTGAAAGCTGAATGTTGCATAAGTTGAAGAGGTAATGCTTCCACTGTCTTCTCTTTGAATTGCTCGGGGGCATATGTAATCAAAATTCAGATGGCAAGGTGGTTAGCTGACCCTGCAAGCAACAAAACTTTTCCTTCCCAATAAAATCTTTAAATATTGCAGCAACTTTGAAAAGAGACATATTTTTATTTTCATAAATAAGTATCGGGCTCTAAAGAAAGCATGAATGAACAATGATGTATAAACTGAAGCCAGATTTTTATCAACCACTAATTAACTGTACAATTGAGTAATTTATATTCAAAAGAAAGATACAGATTCATGTGGATTTGACCAAAAGCGTTGAAACTCAACGTTCCAGATATTACTTAAGAAAGAAAATCAGCAGAAAAACCTAGTTTAAGTGATAAATAACCTTCAAATGCGCCTCCATTAGTATCACAATCGTTGTTGCTTCTATCATGTTTCGAACTGTTGAAAGTTGAAACAAGAAAAGCTAAATATTCTTTGATTATTCAACACAAAGAAGGCAACTGTCACTAGAATAGAGGAGCAAGATTCTCTTCGATAAATGCAGTGAGAACTTAAATTGAAACAGGGGGGAAAAAGTTGTGTAACATCTGATAGATTTGTCTAAACCAATGGAAACAATTCCGTAACAAAACTATTGTACTACTTACCTCCAATGGAGCAGCAACCCGCGACCGGAGTCCTCATCACCAGAAATTTCACAACCAGAATAATCACAATCCGTCACAAACCTACACTTGAAAATCAATTTGAGTTAAACAAAATTTCCAAATGCTCGCCTATCTATGAATGGATTTTATTTTATTTTTTATTACCCCTAACAATTGCAGGTCCACCTGTGAACCGAGATTGGCCTCGAATCCCCACCGCGGATGCGGAGCCACCGTCGCCCCGCGCCGTCCCGGGCCAGCGACAGCAGCATCCTGCTCGCGGCATGCGGCGCCATGGGTGGGGTGAGACGAGGGGCGGAGATGGAGGAGGAGGAGGGGGGGGGGGGGAGCGTGGCCATGGCGGCGAGGAGGGGAGGAGGAGGGGGAGGGAGAGGGGCGCCGCGTGGAGGAGAGGGTCGCGGAGCTGGATCTCTGCATGCGCGCCACCGAGGATTGGGCTTCTGATGGGCCTGTTTGGCTGGAACGTCAAAGTGAAAGCCCATTTGCATTTAGGGCAAATGTAGGCCCTAAATCAGGCCCAGTTACGAGCCCAACATAAGGCCTACACGTCTGGTATATAATTCCCGTCTTGTAATTAAGTTTTCGCTAGAACGTGACTTCGCTATGCTTACTGCTGCTACAAATCTATGTTTTCTATAAAGTTAAAGTCCACTAAATCTAAAACTCAATATGTAGCTCTGAACAAAATAAAGTGACAATGAGCAAACAACGATGGTGCAGACCTGCTGTGGGTAAACTGAAGATAAATTCTGATGGAGCATATATAGCTGAAACAGGGGAAGGAGGATGGGGTTTTGTAATTCGGGATTCGGAGGGAGAGGTTATCCTGTCAAGTGCTGGTTGAATATCTTATCTGCTGGATGCTTTCCAGGCAGAAGTTGTTGCGTGCTTGGCCGGAGCAAGGGCCGCGAATGCACTAGGAATGGGCCATGTCGTTTTTGAAACTGATTCCATTAACTTGAAGCAAGCTATAGATGCCGATGATCATAGACTTGCAGCAACGGGTGGCTTGATTTATCAATTGAAGAAGCTGATCGGAAGTAGTTTCCTTTCTTGTTCCTTTGTTTTTGCGCCACGAGAATGTAATAGAGTAGCGCATGCTTTAGCAGCTTTGGGTTGTAAATGTCCTCGGAATACTGTTGAACAATGGGACATGATGCCTCCGGGCATGGAGGACTTGGTGGCCAGCGATTTTGCTGAGTCCTTAAGTTAATGGAAAGTTCTTTTCCTCTAAAAAAAAAAACTCAATATGTAACTATGCCGCATCATCACCCACTAACAGTATTACATATTTAACCTTTTACAAGCACACAACATCATCTACAATTTATTTAAATTTACAAATCAATATACAAGCATATCCAATCATCACCCCTCACATCATTGTTTAGTTATTCCCGCAGCAAAGCATGGAGAATTACATAGTAAGCTGAAAAATAAAGGCCTAATTTTAATGGTCTTAATCTGGGACCACCTATGCATCACTCGGGTGATTTTTGAAAAAAAATCACCCAGATTTTTTCTTCCCTTGGATTTGCATCCAACGGACTACAAAATAAAATAATTAATACAAATTTACTTACACAACATTTTTATCATAATTACAGTGCACTTACATGTCATATCAACTAAATTTACATATATAATTTTAGTTATATAGGACTGCAATTTTATATTTGAAATAAAATAACTAATACAAATTTACTTACACAATATTTTTATCAAAATTACAGTACACTTACATGTCATATCAACTAAATTTACATATGTAATTTTAGTTATATAAGACTGTAATTTTATATTTTAAAGAAAATAATAAGTACATATTTACTTACACATTATTTTTATCAAAATTACAGTACACTTACATGTCATATCAACTAAATTTACATATGTAATTTTAGTTATATAAGACTGTAATTTTATATTTTAAAGAAAATAATAAGTACATATTTACTTACACATTATTTTTATCAAAATTACAGTGCACTTACATGTTAAATCAACTGAATTTACAAATATAATTTTAGTTATATAGGACTGTAATTTTATATTTTAAAGAAAATAATAAATACATATTTACTTACACATTATTTTTATCAAAATTACAGTGCACTTACATGTCAAATCAACTAAATTTACAAATGTAAATTTAGTTATATAGGACTGTAATTTTATATTTCACGACAACGACAAGAGGGACGGTGTCTCTAGCTGATCAGTGTTGGCCGTGCTACGGCGGCTGGCTCGACGGTCAGAGGCCACCGTGTCACCGTGCTTCTCCAATCTCCATTATCGTGTGCGCTTGGGCTAGCTAGACAGGAAGGCCGACGTGCTGGTGTCCGACGCGCCGGCTGACGAGGCTGAAAAAAAAAGTGAAATGTGAGAAAAAAAAATCACGTGAGTGATCGATAGCAAAATCGTAAAAGAATTACTTATATCTCAATCTGGCCCAATTATTTCCTGACCAATGAACGTAAATGGGCCTAAATTAGGCCCAAATCTGCAATTATATTGACCTAGGAATAAGTTCACTTTGGGTCCCTTTATTTGTCGCCCAGTCCGATTTTCGTCCCTTGACCGCAAAACCGGGTACGACCTATCCCCCAACTTCCGAAAACCGGGCAAACGAGGTCTCTCGGCGGTTTTAAAGGCGGTTTTTGCTGACGTGGCGCCTACGTGGCTTGTTTGACTAGTTCTCCGTCCCACGTGGCATTGATGTGGCGCTGATGTGACAATTATATCTTGGAAAACTAATAAAAATGGTGGGCCTAAATGTCAGCCACAGAAAACATAATTTAAAAATTGTGGGTCTCACATGTCAGTAAAAAATAAATATGGTGGGCCCCACATGTCATTCTCAAATGACCAAATCCAATCCTCTTCTTCCCCTCTCTCCGGCTCTCCCCATCTTTGTGCTCCCTCCTCTAGCCGGGCGGCGTCCAGCACGGCGGGCAGACGGCGGACAGCGCGGCGTGGCGATGGACATCGCATGGCCAGCGGCGGGCGACGGCGTGCGAGAGGAGGCAGCAAGCTACAGCAGCCATCGACTACACCCGCGGCAGCAAGCTACTCCAGCCAGCAACACTAGCAGGCTGCAACAGCCATCGACTTTGAGTTGCTATGGACAAACGAGCGAGCCAGACATCACCTCGGCACCAAACAATAATGCACCCCGATGGATAGCAACGGATATGATTCGACGACGCGCAATAATGGCGGCAGCGACGTCCCGCCGTGTCGTCAGGTCGCCGCCGGCTACCAGACGATGTCCTTGAGCGCCGGCCGGAGCTCCTCACTGCATAACGACCGGTAATCCATGGCGTCGCTGCCATCCTTCTTGACGTCCACCACGAGGCACGAGCAACAACGACGCCACGCTAAAGACATCGGCCGCCACGGCGAGCTGCACTCCGCGCGCGTGGGCGTGGCGCCGCCCGTCGCGAGCGCCTCCAGCCGCGCGACCACGCCGCTTGCCGCCTCCCGCGCCGTGAACCGCGTGCCGCCCGCGCGCGCCGTGGCCCGCCCCGGCGACGTGGCGGAGTCATGCTCGAACAGCGGCGACAGGTCGAAGCCCTCGGACAGGGAGATCAGGTGGAAGGCGTTCAGCACCTCGGGCGGTTCGTCCTTGTCATCGCCGGCATTGCCACGCGTGTCCACCGGCGCCGGCGCGGGGTCGGCGATGATGGGGCGCGGGACGGGCGCCGTCTTCCGGAACCACAGCGTCTCGAGGAGGCTAGGGACGGCGATGCGGGTGCCCGGGTTGGGGTCGAGCAGCATCTTGATGAGCTTCCGCCATTGCGCCGGCTGCCGGACCTCCCCGGACCTGCCTTCACGCGGACCGGTGGCTCTCCAGTCGAGGGGCGGCGCTGACCATGCCCGCCGCCGCCGCCGGAGCTCGCCTGCTCTGTTGCCTACCCGCGCCGTTTGCCTGGGAAGGAAAGAAAGAGACGGGAAAAGGAAGAAGAGAGAGAAGGGAGAGGGAAGAAGAGAGGAGTGAGGCTGACATGTGGGGCCCACGTGGGCCTCACCATTTTTAAATTATTTTTTGTGTGCAGATGCCATGTGGGGCCACGCTTTTTATTATTTTTCCGAGATATAATTGCCACGTAAGCGCCACGTCAATGCCACGTGAGACGAAGACCTAGTCAAACAAGCCACGTAGGTGCCACGTCAGCCAAAACCGCCTTCAAAACCGTCAAGGGACCACGCTTACCCGGTTTTCATAAGTTGAAGGACGGGTCATACCCGGTTTTGTGGTCAAGGGACGAAAATCGGACTGAGCGACGAATAAAGGGACCTAAACTGAACTTATTCCTATTGACCTATGAACGCTCCACTCCGCTCCTAGCCTCCTACCGCCGGCCGCCCTAATCGGCTTCCCGCCGATGCGTGCGCCGCCGCAGCCGCCGGCGATGGCGGGGACCGCCTTCTCCGACCTCCCGCCGGAGCTGATGGCCAAAATCCACGACAACCTCGCCTTCCTCGACCGCCTCGCCTTCGCCGCCGCGGTCTCCGCCCCATCACGCGACGCGTTGAAGCCGGAGCCGCCGTGGCTGGTCCTCCCGGGCGAGACGCAGGAGACCACCAGGGTCTTCTCCCTCGCCGACCGCCGCTCCGCCACCGTGCGCGCCCCGGACCCCGCGATGCGCGACCATGTCATCATCGGCTCTTCAGGCGGCTGGATCGCGACCGCCGACGAGCGTGGGCGGATGCGCCTCGCCAACCCTGTCACCGGCGAGCAGGGCGACCTCCCGGCCATCGCCACCATCCCCTTCCTCAAGGCCGACCAGGGAGGTCGCTACTTCGTCCTTATCATGGAACCCTTCGTCCAGCTCCGGTACAGAGGCGAACTCGAGTCGTGGCCGCTCAGGCCGCACCCGTACGGCACGTTCACGCTCACCGACGGCGACATGCGCCGCTGGTTCTACCGCAAGGTCGTTCTCTCTGCCTCGCCGCGCCCGGGCGACTACGCCGCCATGCTCCTCTTGGGCAACTACTTCGGCACGCCGGCGTTCGCCACGGCTGAGGACGGCCGCTGGAGGGTCACGCCCTCGCGCGACGGCGTCGAGGACGCGATCCACCACAAGGGCAAGTTCTTGTCCGTCACGTACACCGGCACCGTGGAAGCGTGGGAGCGCGACGGCGTCCACGGCGAGTTCACCAGCAAGGTGGTGACCACAAGGATGGCCAACGGCGGCGACCACCGGCATTGCAGCAAGTACCTGGCAGCGGCGCCGGATGGGCGGCTGATGATCGTGCTCAAGAACGCCAAACGCGTCAAGGACCTCTTTGAGTTGCAGGTGTTCGACGAAAAGACACAACGGTGGGAGGCGGCGGAGGACGTCGGCGACCTCGCTATCCTCGTGGGCATCAACAGCTCGCTGTGCGTGTCGACGACCGAACACCCGGAGCTCAAGGCCGGCTGCGTGTACTACACCGACGACAAGATTGGGAAGGCCTCGCTGCGGAGGGGCGCCAGGTGCTCGTCGTGGTATCACCGTGGTGACGAGTCCCACAACGACGACAGCGACCGGAACGTGGCCATGTACAGCCTCAAAGATGGGACGGCGGAGAGCATACCGGAGCTCGGCGAGCACCTGAGTTGGCCACCGCCAGCGTGTTCATACCTTCCTTCCCATGACAGGTGTGCTGGCTTACGTTTCCTCGACCAGCGAACGCCGGAAAGTATTTTCCGTGTATACATATAATTTAAATAGTTATATAAAAATTCCATAAAAATTGGTAAGATAGACTATAATTATATAAGACACTATACTGACATGCAAGTTCAAATTCGATCAACATACGAAGAAACAAAAAATAACAAATTTTGTCTGCATTATACGGGTACTATTCACTGTGATTTTATTATTTTTGTTTCTCTAGTTGTAGATCAAATTTAGCCTTGCATGTTTGTATATAGACTCATATCATCACAATCGATATTACTATTTTTTTAACTTTTTCTATAACTTTTTGATTTGCATGCAAATAATGGGTGCGATGGCACTTAGTGTAGAAAATCCCATCTCAGCGAACGCAAAGTAAGCATTAATAAGCCAAAATGTTTTCATGATTATAGATGATCTGGTTAGTTTTAAGTGGCCATTGCTAGTAGATGATCTAGTTAGTTTTTAGGACCATGCTAGTAGATGATATGTTAATTTGTACTACCATTATAATGGGCGCAAGCATGGGGGACTGTGGGAGGACCCTTCTCATGGATTTGATTAGACTATCGAGAAGCTTGCCTGAGGCTCCTATTTGGATTGTATTTGAAATCTCCAAATTTCATTTTCTAGTATTATGATATGTCCTCTGGATATAGAATTAAGATTTTTCGCCAGCTCTGGTTTTAGTTCAAGTGCTTAGTAAAAATAACATGTTTGGCTTCGTGTTGGAGTTGGTGGGGATCTTCGCAGAGGTTCTTTTGAGAGTTCTGAACAATGTAGGTACTCTTACTCTTCAATCATAACATCAGTATATTCTACTTGATGTGTAAAATGTTGTACCCTTATGTTCAATTAGTACTTGTGCAATATTGTTGAATTATCCTTTGGCACAATTTTGAGAATTGTTGCGCTTGATAATCAGAAAATATAGGTGGGACCTGGTGGATAAGTAAGGAGATTCTAGATTTCAGGATGTTCTCCTTAGATCAATAATTTTACTTTGCTATGACAACTGTATGTGAAAGTTTTTGTCTGGGCGTTGCCTTTGGTACAACAAACTGTTAGTCCAACTTGTAAAATGTATTAGTTGATCATACAGCAGGCAGTCACTTGCTTCTGTGTTTTCTATTTTTTTGGTTATACAATGGGTTACCAAGATTCAGGAGAAGATGTATGATTCTGGTTTTCTTAAGTTTTGTTTGCTATGTTCATTAGTATACATATATTTTGGTTTGTTTGTGGAATTTCAGTTATCTTAAAAGTTTTAGTTCAGCGTAAAGACTGTTTTTTTAGCTACTTATTTCATATAGCTAGAATGGCGCTGTGTTTCAAATTCTAATTGTATAAGCGATGATGCATTGTTCTAGCTTTGGAAATCCGTGAGAACTCTGAACTTAGTGGCTGGAATGTTTTGGTTATTGTCCTGTTGTTATACATAACTCATGTTTATCAGTAACTGGAAATGTATCTATATAAAGTTGTCTTATTTTATCTTCAGTTCACAACTTTGATACAAAGTAATTCTCGAATGACAGTGATCTATGCGAGGCTCTTATTTTGAAGGCTGCTTGGTTTACAAGTAATGGTGGACCTGTGCTCTGCTTTTGTGTTCCAGAAAACAACATATACAACATTCCTTTTTTTTTTTTCTCAAATTCTGTAGGCAACATATATTGATATATATCAGGTAGTACCCGGCCTTTTAATAATAGTATTTTTTGCAATTTCTGCTCACTACGCTAGAACCCTACATCTGTGACGGCATACCAGTGACGGGCCTATGAATTGGTCACAGATGACCGTCACCTTTGACGGGTCGCTAGGTTTGCCGTCATCGGTGGGGCATCCGGCCGTGGCCCGTCACAGGTATCCCCTCACCTGTGACGGGCCAGAAGGAAAAGCCGTCACAGGTGAGGAAGTGACGGGTTTTCCTCCCAACCCGTCACAGGTATCCCCACACCTGTGACGGGCCGTGGCATTATGAGCCGTTACAGGTGGTGGTCCGCCACCTGTGACGGATTTTCCTTCCGGCTCGTCACAGGTAGGTCAATACCTTTGACGGGCAACTCAATTGAAGCCCGTCAAAGGTATGACCAACACCTTTGACGGGCTTTTTTAATCTAACCCGTTTGAGGTGTGTTGGGTCTATAAATACCCTCCGAACTGCCAACTGCTTTCCATCCCGACTAGTTCACTATTCACAAATCGGTTGGGAGGGCAAGGGGGGCGATTTTTTTGCTAAAATTCAAGGTAAAAAACACATTATTCTCCATTCCTTCTCAATATATCGACCATCATATATTTTTCTTCATATATTGTTGATTTCAGATGGATCGTAGATGGATGTACTATGCGCATCATTCGTCTACCTAGTATAGAGAGGGGGGTCACTGAATTTGTCACATTTGCGGATAATGACAGACAAAGTAGGATGAGCATGCACATGTTGTGTCCATGTAGGGACTGTAAGAATGAACAGATGATCGAAGATAGCGATGAAGTGCATGCTCATTTGATAATGAATGGATTCATGAAGAAATATACTTGCTGGACCAAGCATGGAGAGCAAGAGGCGCCTGATGTCGCAGCTGATGAAGTGTTGGATTAGGATGTAGAGAACACCGTCGCAGCTCGAGAAGGCATGTTCGTACCTTCTCCTTTAGGTGGAGAGACCATAGATTTGGACACTCAATGTCTATCTACACTGTTGCATGACATTGAAGACGCAGAGGACAACGACAGAGATTTTGAGAAGTTTAGTAAGTTGGTGGAAGATTGTCGGATGCCCTTGTATGATGGATGCAAGTCGAAGCACAGCAAGTTGTCATGCGTGTTGGAACTCATGAAGCTTAAGGCTAGTAATGGCTGGTAGGATAAGAGTTTTACAGAACTTCTTGAGCTGTTAAAGGACCTGTTGCCAGAGGGGAACAATTTACCGCAGACGACATATGAAGCGAAGCAAGTATTATGTCCATTGGGCCTGGAGGTCAGAAGAATTCATGCATGTCCGAACGACTGCATTTTGTATTACAAGGAATACGCTGACTTGGATGTCTGCCCTGTCTATGGGGCATCAAGATATAAACGAGCAACGAGTGAAGGTGAAGGAAGTAAGTCAAAGAGGGGAGGCCCAGCAAAGATGGTGTGGTATCTCCCAATTGCGGAGCGCATAAAGAGAATGTTTGCGAATAAGGAATAAGCTAAGCTAGTGCGATGGCATGCCGAAGAACGGAGTCGATAGTATGCTGAGGCACCCAGCAGATTCAGTACAGTGGAGGACAATCGATAGGATTTACCAGGAATTCTCAAATGACCCAAGAAACATGCGCTTCGCAATGTGTACGGACGGCATTAATCCATTTGGTGATTTGAGCAGTCGTCACAGTACATGGCCAGTTCTGCTTGTTAACTATAACCTTTCTCCCTGGTTGTGCTTCAAAAGAAAATATATTATGCTTGCCATGCTCATTGAAGGACCGAGACAACCTGGTAATGATATCGATGTGTTCCTTGAACCGATAATCGATGACTTCGAAAGGCTATGGAATGAGGGCACACGGACATGGGACGCATATGCACAAGAGTATTTCAACCTCCATGTGATGCTGTTTTGTACCATCAACGATTATCCGGCCCTTGGCAACCTTTCTGGCCAAACTGTGAAAGGGAAATGGGCGTGTTCGGAGTGTATGGAGGAAACAAGAAGCAAATGGTTGAAGCATTCACACAAGACGGTCTACATGGGTCACAGGAGATTTCTCCCAAGGTATCACCCGTATAGGAATATGAAAAAGAATTTCAATGGACACAGAGATACAGCCGGACCCCCGGCAGAGCTAACAGGGACAGAGGTGCACAAGTTAGTGATGGGAATAATCAACGAGTTTGGAAAAAAGAGGAAAGTTGGAAAGACAAAAGAGAAGAGCACGTCGAAGGAAAAAACAGAGGAGCATGTGGAGAAACAAAAGACAAAAGAGAGGAGCATGTGGAAAAAGAAGTCAATATTTTGGAGATTACCATACTGGAAGGATCTTGAAGTTCGCCACTGCGGATTTGATGCATGTCGAGAAGAATGTATGCGAGAGTTTAATGGGATTACTGCTTAACCCAGGTACTACAAAGGATGGTCTCAACGCCCGACGAGATCTGGAAGAAATGGGTGTTCGCTCGGAACTACATCCCATAACCACGGAATCCGGCAGGGTTTACCTTCCTCCAGCCTGCTACACTCTCTCAAAAGAAGAGAAGATTGATTTGCTAACATGTTTGAGTGGTATAAAGGTTCCATCTGGTTACTCATCAAGAATCAGTAGGCTCGTTTCACTGCAAGATCTTAAGTTGGTAGGAATGAAGTCACATGATTGCCACGTTCTTATCACACAGCTGTTGCCCATTGCACTAAGGAATATTTTGCCTCCTAAGGTGCGACACACGATCTAGCTGTTGTGTTCCTTCTTCCATGCAATCGGCCAGAAGATCATTGATCCCGAGGGACTAGATGAACTACATGCAGAACTTGTGAGAACCCTATGTCATCTTGAGATGTACTTTCCTCCAACTTTCTTTGACATAATGGAACATCTTCCCGTGCACCTTGTGAGGCAAACAAAGTGCTGTGGTCCAGCATTCATGACGCAGATGTATCCTTGCGAAAGGTACCTGGGGATCCTTAAGGGTTATGTACGGAACCGTTCACACCCCGAGGGGAGTGTCATAGTGAGTTACACCACCGAAGAGGTCATCGATTTTTGTGTGGACTACATGTCAGAAACATCTTCAATTGGATTACCACGATCTCATCACGAAGGGAGGCTTGATGGTGTTGGTACTATTGGAAGAAAGACTGTTAGGTTGGATCGGAAGGTGTACGATAAAGCTCATTTCACGGTAATGCAGCATATGACTGAGGTGGTGCCGTATGTTGGCGAACACCTTGCAGTTCTCCGACAGGAGAACCCAGGCCGATCAGAGAGTTGGGTCAGAAATAAGCACATGTCTTCTTTCAACGAGTGGCTGAAGAACCGAATTGCCAGGTTGCAGAACTTGTCTAGTGAAACACTTCAGTGGTTGTCACAGGGTCCTGAATGGAGTGCCACCACCTGGCAAGGATATGACATAAATGGATACACCTTTCACACGGTAAAGCAAGACAGCAAATGTACAGTGCAGAACAGTGGGTTACGCATCGAG